CTCGCTTTCTATCTCTCTGTCTCTGTCTTTCTGGTAAGCGCATGTGCCCTATAGCAAAAACCTCTCAAAAAAAAAAAAAAAAATAAAGAAAGAAAGAAAGAAAAAGAAAACCAGCCCCAGCCCCATCACCTTCAGCACCTATAGTGCTGGACATGTCTTTTAAGAGCACTGTCACACTGTGGTCTCACTTTATAACAGCTTTTATGTTAAATCTTCTGGCTGCATCCTTGGAGTACAAATGGCAGGTCAGCACCAATACCATCTTTATTTAATTAATTTATTTATTTTTGCTGTAGGGTGTGTGCACTCACCAGAAAGACAGAGACAGAGAGACAGAAAACGAGAAATCACCCCTCAGGGGGGATGGCCATGCCGCAATCCCTTCTCCTCCATTCTCCCCTTTTGATCTTGGGCACGCACGCACACGCACCAAGCGTGAATTTAAGCCATCGGTTCCAGAGCTTGAAGCGTGGTCGATCACATGGGAGTTTAGCACCATAGCCAGTACACTAACTGCTGGTCCCAGCACCAATACCATCTTAATAGGCTGAGTGTGTGGAGAAAGCATGTGAGAGGGCATCAGGAATTTCAAGTTAGCCATTATGTAGCAACATGATTTAGAACAAAACTGAGAAGATAGATTAGATGAACATTAAGGGCTTGAAAAACTCTGGTATTCTATGATTCTAGAATATTCTTGGCACTTTACAAAGCTAGAAGACTGACTTAGAATATTTTCCTTCATATTTTTTCTGTTTTTATGTAAAACAGGAGAAAATGTTTAACCACAAGTAAACACAAACAGACTTTTGAAACAGACATTTAAAGTAGTTTCAGGATACATGTAAACTGAAATACACAAATTAATTATTCTTAAATTTATTTTCTTCTACAGAAAGGTGAAAGTGCAGTTGAAAACATAAACTAAGAAATATTTGTTTTACAAGATAACTTGCTCTAAGACTATAACCTTGAGGTGCTAGACAAGATGATAAAAAGCTCTGTCAAGTTCTGAATTCTGCAATTCTGAGCTTCTCTTGGCATTTTCATGTCTAAGTGACCACCATCTTTTTGAGATGTTTTCCCTCAGAATTTCCAGTCCATACCCATTACAGAAGAAAATGTTTACTGTACAATTACAGAAATACAGGATTTACATAGAAATTTAAAGTAACTTCAAAACTTCATGACATATTTTTGTTTTTGTTTTTATAACTTCGATCACATTATTTAACTTATAAACTTATAAAGTTCAATATGTGAACATTTCTCCCCAAACTAGTTGATCAAAATATCTTCAACAGATAACCCCACTACCTCCCCATCCCATCAATGCTCTATCTCTGTATCCCTCCTCCAAATGTCCTTCCCCAGGCCCCACTCCTCCATACACACCACGTCGAGCAATCACACCTATCTCTTGTCTTTGTACATCCTCTAGTCAGTTTCAGTCATGGAGTGTGGACACATGGTATATATTAAGTGGGAACATACAGTGTCTCTCCTTCATAGCCTGGCTTGCTTCACTCAGCAGTAAATCTTCCATATTCTTCCACTTTCTGTCAAAAGCCAGGGCTTTGCTGTTTTTTTATGGCTGAATATTATTCCATACAGTGTATGTGCCAGTTTTTCAATCCATTCATCTGTACGGGGGCATTTGGGTTGGTTCCATGTCTTAGCAATCGTGAAAAGTGCTGCAATAAACATCAAAGTACAAGCACTTTTCCGATGAAAGATTCTTCTGTCCTTTGTGTAGATACCAAGGAGTGGGATTGCTGGATCATATGGTAGTTCTATTTGTAGATTTTTGAGGAATCTCCAAATAGTGCTCCACAGTGGCTGGACTAATTTACATTCCCACCAGCAGTGTATGAGAGTTCCCCTTCACCACCCCCCCACCAACACTTACCATTTTTTTTTTTTAATCTTAGACATTCTGACTGGGGTTAGGTGGTATCTCACTCCTTTTTTGATCTGCATTTCCCTTATGATGAGGGATGTTGAGCATTTTTTCATATGCCTTTTGGCTATTCATATGTCATCTTTAGAGAGTGTTTTTTTCAACTCATTCTCCCATTTTTTAATAGGGCTGATCATCTTTTTTTCACACAGCTGCTTGTGGTCCTTGTGTATTCTGGGTATCAGTCCCTTATCTGATGCATAATTTACAAAAATATTTTCCCATTCTGAGGGTCATTGATTTTTCTGCTTTTCTATGTAAAAATGCATCATGTTTTTTTTGAAGAACCAATATAATTACACTGAAATATACAGATAAACAGTTGCTTAATCAGAAAACATTTATTATTTTTCATAAATTAATAAAATTGAGACTGTGAATATAAACCAAGAAACATTTTTCTCACAAGGTAACTGAATTCTTTTAATTTTGAAACTGAAGACATGTACAGCACTTACAACATGTACACAATACTATTTTCAAACAGGTTTTTGACCTCTAAAAATGAAAATTCTCAGTGACAAGCTTTAGATATGCAACTGAGTCCAGTGGATATCAACTCTGTCACAAGAAACAACTACTTACAGATAGCTCCCCCATTCCCTGGCATGAAAAATAAAATTAGAGACTTTAAAGACAACAACAACAAAAGAGATCTCTCAATACAAATGATTACAGTCCAAAGAGCATGTTTACAAATAAACGTATGATCTCAATTATTCAATTGAATGAGTGACTTAATTTGCAAATCAGCTCCATTTCTTACTACTTCCTGATTTCTTATTCGGGGAATATTTATTCTGTACTGTGTGTGTAAGACATTTGGGAACACAAAACAGGACAGGCATGGGCCAATGGTGTGCTAACAGATGTTTAACAACCAACTCTTGAGATGAGAGTCTATATTTAATAGCATTTTCAATTTCTATGGTGTAACACTTCTACTACGGCAGAGTTCAAGCTACCAACAATTTGACAACTGGCTTGCAAAATTCCTGAAACTTTCACCTGAGACAATCACTTCATATAATTTATTGTAAGCCAGCTCCTTCAACAAACCAGTGTATGGTTTCCACCTTCAAGGAGCTCATAATCTTCATGGGAACTTACTTCAGATGATACAAAAGAATGCAGAAGATGGAGATAAAATTTAAATGATTAACAAATATATTTTATAGCTAGTTTTAAAAGAAAAAAGACAACACTAAAATCTGTGGACTTTTCCCACTTCTTCACTATTCCACTTTTCATATTGCTTAAATTTATTTCAGAAAATTAAAATGTAGTACCCTTGAGGAAAAGCAAAGGATGAATGGAATAATTAGGAAAAAAGACAAGAAAAGATATCTTAAGGAAGATAACAACAGTTATGTTTATACTAGAAGAAAAAGCTTACTAACATAAGGGTAAATATAACTATTAATGATAAAATATCCTCTTCTTTAAGCCCCTTTATTTCAGTTCACAAGTCCTGAAGATTTGTCCTGATGTCTTTGGCTGCCACTTTAATGAGATTAGCTAGCTTCTTGAGCATATCACTGAAGAGCATACTATTTCAATATCATAATAAAATCACAAACTACTCACACAATAAGCTCTGAATAAAAGGCAGAACTAAAGTGGAGCATCTGAAAACTAAGTTTCCATTTGCATAGTCACCCTTCCTTGTATCAGATCTTGGGCACCTGTCGGCTTGAATGACCAGGGAATTCTTCTGGCAGCAAAACATGGAGTCTGCATGTTGGGCATGTTCCCTGTTGCATCAACCATGGTCTAATGCACTAAGAAGCAAAAAGATTAATGTCAGTCTCTCAGAAGAAGCTGCTACTCTGTACATAAGGGTTACCAACCAAAGTGGTTGAATACTGACTTACCAAAAATAAATCATTATTACCTGTATGAATAATGAAGAGCCAATTCAGAAGAGAAAGAATTAAGAACAAGCACCATCTATAAGGCTCACTCTATCCCCAAAAAGTAACCTGCATGAATTATTTCTTTTGATTCAAGGGGCAATGAAAAGAAGAAAATATGTTTTGTTAAACATTTATTTTCTACATTGTCAGGTTTTGAAAAACTTCAAATGGGAAGGAGAAGTGGCTAAGTATCTCTCCTGAAACTCTTTTGGGATCAGCCATTCTGTGTACACATCTTCATATCACAACAGATGCAAAATATTATTCTGTACCAAGTACCACAAATCATATCTTTGAAATGATGTTCTGCAACATGGTTTGAATAAGCTGGCTATTGTTCACTTCCCTGAGAAGCTTTTCTTATGTTCAATTATCTTTGCCTGTGTCAAATATATCTCTGCAATAGAAGATTTACACTGAAAACTGTATATCAATTGTACTTGAATAGCATCAATAGTAGGACTTAATCTAAATAAATGCCATCCTGGAATCAAAAAAAGTATACCAGTCTCACATTTTCATAAGATCAAAACTCAAGTCTAAGCATATTCAAAAAATACAGTCTGCTAAGACATGTGTTATGCTTTATTATAGGGTTGTATTATTAAGTTAGGTGTGGAGAATGGACACTGTGGTATTTACAGCATGTCAAGGTGAAGTGGTACTGTTGCTAGTTTTTCTTCTAAACTTTCATGCCAATTAATATTTCTCCCAGTTCTATGCCTACTGTGTATAATTCAAATCCCAATGTGGTCTTCTCCTGTGATGTGTGTGGCAAGCTGAGAAAATACAGTGCAATCCATAGCTATACACGGTAAAAAGTAGAAATGTATCTGTGTGATACCCAAAAGCATAGTTATAGCCAGTGGAACTTGCAACATGACAATAGATGATGATGCATGTATATGATTTTAAGTAAACAAGTATAAATCTCACATAGTTGATTAACATAATGTTAACAGAACACATATAAAAGATTACCTGGAAGTGGAATTTGTGAGCACAAGGCAAAACTGAAAGGTTTTCTGGAGATAAATTCTCATGGCAGATCACACAAGGCTCCTCTTCCTCCTCCTCATCCTAGAGAAAAGACAGATAATGATACATGTAGCTAATTTTTTTCCCTCCCGGGACTAATGTGTTCAAAATCAACAATTTCAGTCTTACCAAATTATTGGCTCCTTTCCATCTGGCAGAACCTTGTGAACTGAGTGGCCTCCAGGCTGGCTTTGGGGACTGGGCAGTATTGGGCTGTGATGAAGAAAGTCTGGGTGAAACACCATTACCATTTGGCACTGATTTTCCTTGACTCTGAAAATAAGAATATTATACTTATTTCTTTAGAATTGTTCTAAATCATAAAAACTGATAGAACAGCACAAGAATAGGGTACAGAAAGAGTTACCAAAGGGTAAACAATCAGATTAATGAGGAATCTTGAAAAAAATGTTAGCAATACTTATATACTCAGAGCTTCAGAAAGTCAAAAATAACTATATTCTTTTAAATACAATAAATCTTTCCAGAAATGTGGAAAAAATGCCCCCCCCCCTTTAGAATCATTCAAACTAACCTAGAGTAAATTTCAAGAGGGTCAATCTTATTTCAGAATGATTAACTAATAGTATTTCAAAATCTTCTTCTATCATTTGTTGAATTGTAGTTGCTGAATTATTTCTAATAGGTAATCAATATGATTAGCAGTTATGTATTTTCTGAATGTGTTGTGAAGAGAATTAACACAGTTAACTATTAGAGATAAGGGCAGAGATGTTAATACTTATTTTTTTCATTTTTCTTTTTTTTACCTGAGATCTCTTGGGGTCAATAAATTGGTAAATCTTGTAAACAATTTCATCAAATGTCAGTCTAGATAAAGACTTTCCATGAGTATCCTTTAGTTTTCGTAAGAAATCTGTAAGCTCCTTTCTGGAAGAAATCAAAGAAAGAGGAGTGATGATTTTTCCTATTCCCTTGAGGATTTGTCCTTCAAACCAGATACAAAATCCTATGATGTAATTGATATTTTAAATTTAAATATGCCTTTTAGAACTTCAACCCCCCCCCAAAAAAAAAAAAAACTGACCACAGGTC